ATGAAAGGGAAATTGTTTGTTGGCCATGAAGCTTTGTGGTCTATTTGGTATGCAGTTTTGAAGACGGTGGAAGTGACTGGTGTGGTTCTTGTAGTGGAGGAGTGAAAGGTCAGCAGAGGCTTAAATGAGCTTGTCTTGCATCCAGCTGGGCCAGCAGGAGGTCATTAGGAAGATGGGAGGCTCACTTTAGGCTTGACAGAGTCTCTCCCCATGATACAAGGAGACCGTTTTGCTCACTGCTCCTCTCCCAATATATAAAAAGAACCCCAGGGACAAGAATGACACTGAAGTTTATCTTACCACCAAAGTTTTGCTTGAGGAGGGCAAAACCAGCAATTACTCAGGAGGGGGATTTATTTTGTTTGTTTGCTTTTGATGGAAAGTAATGGAGATAAGTACAAAAGGTCTATTGATCTGCTGGCTCTATTGTGAAACCAAATAGAGTAGCAGGGAAAAAATCTCCTCCTTAACGTTTAACAAGTCAGAGGACTTGCACAACTTTACTTTATAAAAGAATTTTAGAAATAGAGAATTGCAGTTATATTGGCAAAATACAGGAAATGAAACAGCTAATGCCTTAAAATGTTCTCCTCTTGTATTTGGAGAGGATTAACACATTGTATTTGACAGCTAATTATATTAGGGCAAATATACTAATAGTCATCTTGAATTGGTGCTAAGTGGCTCATTTCTTGGAGGTATTGCCTGGTGAAATCATGTGTATTTATTGAAAAGCTCTCTCTAGAAAAAGTTCTCTATAAGTTTCCAAACATAGAGGAAGATGGAAAAAATAGATGTTGCTACGCTGAGAAGGTGATAACAGGAGGCAGGTAACATGTTTTCACATCTTCATCTCTGTTGTTAATGTATGCAGTGGCTCATCAGAGGTAGCTCATGTTAATTTATTCCTACACACCTGTACAGGGCTGGAAGTCAGGTAATAAGACAAGCAAAAACTATATATCTTTGTTTTTTAGCTATAGCTACCCGGAGGCCTATATAGAAACAAATTTAGTTCTGGAGACATCAGCAGTTTTTAATAAACCAAATACAGATGTTTTACTCCATACAAATAGAGAAGTTTACATGTTTAAATCTAGACTGATTTAACTAGCAATCAAAGAGAAGGTTCACACTTGGCACCAATGGTTGCCTCATATTTATTTATAAATAACTCTAAGCAAATATTATTTTGTTTTAAAATTTATTCATGTGGCTGAATCACCTTTCCTATACCTTAAAGACAAAACATACAGGCTTAGCTTTCAGATAAAATTTAAGACAAACCTTCACAATTAGCAGCCACTGTACTGAGAAGAGGGGAACAAAGATTGTAAAATTCACGTAAGACGAAAAACAAAGAGATAATTACTTATTTCTATACAGATCATTTAGTTTCTGACTACAAAGTCTTCGTTTTAGTTAAGGGGGTTTTAAAACTGCAAATTACCATAACAAATATAAATAAATTTTAATCTATTAGCAAATGATAAGGAATGCTAGGAAAGAGGACTGACGAGTATTTATTTGGTTATTTTTTTTTCTTGAATAAAAACCAAATGTAATTTTTAAATACAGGTGATCCATGGCCACTCAGCCCTCCTGGGGATCAAAAATCAAGTCAGAGAATGAAAAATGACCAGAGGTAAACTATTTAGTAATACCAGTTAATTCTGAATATGATGCTTTCTTAAAGAAAATTTTCTTTATGAAGACTATATAGGTACCAGGCCAGTTAGTTAGAATTTCTTCTTCTCAGGGAAGATTTCATATGTATACTTCAAAATGGAGGGCCAGCCACCTGTCCCTTAACAGAACAGCCTATCAGTAGCGCAAAAATCAAGGGATAAACAAGAAGGAAAGAAAAGTGTTTGAAATTTAATGCTACACAATGTTAGTATACACTGGAACACTTTAGCAATCACCTTAGAGTACTAGAGTTCTTTACAGAGAAAATTATTTACATTTCACTATCGCTCAGAATTAAAATTATTCTAACAGCTATCTAGCGACCAGGATGAATTGGACTTTGTGTATATTAGTTTGCTCTTTGTCATTAGTGTGGACTGGTCCTCTTGGCTTTTGAATTTATTAAACACACTCATTTACAACTATACAGAAAAGGATACCTTTGACACTGTTGCTTAGAGTCCTCAGCTCTAACAAACCTTGCATGTGCCCTTCTATTTCCTCCTTCTCTGTCACTTTAGACAAAACACATTCTTACTTTTCAAAAAAGTCTTTAACTTGATCTTATAAAATCTAGAAGGACCATAAGCAAAAACCTGGAAATCTTTGCTAACTAACTGCCAAATCTAAAACACAGTATTTAACATCTTTCTACTTCTATTGTACTAACATACCTATCTGGAGACCAAAAATGCAACTCCCTCATGGATAACCATCTTGGAAGAAGCCCAGGAAGATCTATGTAAAATTCCTGTAAGGTGTTCTAATCCTGAAGACAAGAAAGCTGCTTTTATAAACAGAAGGAAGAGGGTAATTCTGTTAGCTTTATGACAGGCATCCTAGAAACCCTATAGCCTTGCACACTTTAGTCCCCACTCAAAATCCCCTCTAATGCTTTATTTGCACAAGGAAGACATTCTGGAGTCACGGATGGATGAAACTGAGACTCTGGGGAGAGGAAAGAAATGGGCCTGAGGACAGCAGGATTAAAGACAAAGGAGGGTTTCTCTTTGGGAAGATCTGTTGGCTCAAGAATAAGGTAAAAAAAAAAAAAAAAAAAAAACAACCAAATAACCTCACTTTAGCTTCACAGTGAACTAAAGAGGAAAAAAAATAGGGACACAACTTCCTGGGGTTCTTGTGACTAACACAGTGAAAGTGAGGAGGGAGAAGGTAGATCTAAGGGATAGATCAGAGATGTGATACAAGAGGCTTTGTGAATAAAGAGATTAAAGCACAAGTTGACAATAGTTGATGAAATGATGATAAAAGGCCAAAAGAAGAGTATAATTATGTTTCATAGTCCACTCTGCTGAGATGTGGGAAGAGGATGGTACCCCAAAGGCACCACTGTTTCTGTTTATTTGGTGGTAGCTAAACTCACATCATTATATTAACTCTAGTCATAGACTCAACCAAGATGAATACTTTGCTTCTTAAGAAAAAAAATGTCAAGATTAAACTATCAGAATTTTTACTGTTTTTAACCTGGGATCAAAAATCTGTATATTTTTGAAGAGCAAAATTCCAAAAGTGAGAATCAAAAAATTTGTATTCTATAATAGTTTTTCAATTTGTTTTTCCTTACTTATCATGTGATAAAACTCTAAAATGAAGAAGATTAGGTATGATGTGATTTCACCCAAATGAAATGTGCCAAGTATCTTCTGAAGTTTGTTCTCTCCTGTGTGACTGAACCACCCATGGGAGCACATCTGTACTGTTCTTCCCACCTAGAATATCCCAGTCATCATAAAGATTGGTTTAAGCTTCTGTATGGCTGGTCATTCACTAAACTTCAAATCCTTAGAATAAAAATGGAGATTGAAATATTCTCCTGCTATTAACAAATGTTCTTCCTCAGACAGACTCAACAGTACCCTCCTTATGCATTAGGACATAAACACACCAGCACCTGTGTTTTCTAGTGATTTTACATAAATGAAAGCAACAAGCTTTGGGTGTGTAGCTATTTATTCCAGTGTTATGACTTGCAATATTTTCAGCAAACCAGCTAAAATTGTGATAAGAGTTCATGCAAATAAGCTTAAATTTTGGCTTGTTTTCAAACATTCCATTTCCATAAATATTTTATGCAGGTTTTCACGAGTCTTTAATTTTTGTTAAAAAAAAAATCCAATGCATTAACCTCATCATCACTAGCATTCTATTTCAAACTTAAAAGAATTGAGTATTACTCACAAACTTAGAGGAGGTTGGATAAAAGTATTTTATTATTATTATTCAAAGTACAGCTACCTTATCTGATGTATTCTGGGGCTGCCAATGATAATTTAGAACTGAAACTAACTTTGTGGCTATAAACCATTTTTACAGAACATGGTAAATGGGAGTGAGAAAATCTTTAAGAAGATAAATTTCTCCTCCAAGCATGTTTTGAATTGCATAAGAAAGCTACTTATTTTTTTTAGAGATTTTGCTTTTTATAGATTGGACCCCTTTTATTTCAGTAGAAATGAATATATATATATATATATATATATATATATATTCTAAACCTTTACTTAAAAAAGGATTGATCTTTCAAATATGAAGACAAAACAGAATATTCTAGAGACAGGTCACTACTTCTCAGTGGTACTTTTATTACGTGTTACTTTGTCAAGGAACTCTATCCAATTGATAAGAACCAGAATTTGGGAGGTGGCTATTTTGAAACTTCCTAGTTAATTTTAATTTGTTTCTTCCACATATACTGATTTCTACATGTAATGAAATTTTCTCTACAAATACTTTTAAAAGACAATGCAGAACCAAAAACCATATCCAATATAATGGGAAGAACTAATTGGTCTGTGTGTAACCTGAGTTGGGCTGGTATATTATGTAAATTGCCTGCTCACAACTTTATCTCCACAAGTATAGGATAACTATGTTACCCTACCACTGACCACCTTGACACATTCCATTTACATGACATTTTCTTTAGGATTAATAAAGAACACTGTATGTTTAGGACCAGCTGCTTCTGTTTAAGCACAACTGTTTCAGAGCTACAGCTACATAGCAAGGATGTGATGTCATCTGAAGGCTGGACACAATATACTCTAACTGATCCTAAAAGTATATGCATGCCTCCTCTTCTGTGCATAATTCCCATGGTAGACTGTACTTTAGAGATATGCTCAAAGACATCGTGAATTTAAAAAAAAGAAACCAACATAACTGTACCATTTCCCCACATCAACAATTACTTTGGTCCCATTTTCTTCTGATATTCTCATGACTCTTAAAGAATTCAAGGACACACTAAATACTCATGTAAGGAATGATAACATTTCTGGTTATACCTACGGAGATGCAGGCTGTCTCGGTGTCCTGGACCTATGGTTCTTTCCATCCGTAAATTTCTGTTTCTATATTGGATAAATATGTGTGTATGAAGATAATATATTGATTTAATTTAAAGCCACAAGGCAAAGCAGAAATATATAAATAAAAGAAGCTGCGGCTCCTAAGTGAAGGTTCACGGGGAAGCAGGGAACTGTGTACAAGTTAACGAATTCACACTTAGATGCATGGAAACACATACACACACATATACACAGCACACAGAGAAAAATGGCGTGCATTACAGGTAAGATGGCATATGATCCTGCATGCTTAATCATAACAAGCACCAACTGCAACAATCCTTCATGAGCATGGCAGCTTAGTTACCAGGCGGTCACTGTGGACAACCTTTACAGTGCATCAAAAACATCTAAGTTGGATTTTTGTTAATGTTAAGTCCAACATGACTGAAACTGGCACCCTCCACCCCCAGCAGGAGCAGCCAATGGAGATTTACTGACCTGTCTCTGCTTCGGCGAGAGGGGAACGCAGCGTTGCAGCCAGCCACTGTGCAGACATGCATCTCTTTTAAGTGAACATTCCTGTAGTGAAGCTTCACGCTGTAGGAGCTTTTGAAACTTTTCTTGCACACATAACAGATTTTGGGGTCTGGGCTAGAACACAGGTCCCCTTCTGGGGAGAACTTTTGAGGGCTGCCATAATTCAGAGACGATGCAAAACTTTCATGCAGGGCAGCCATGCTGGCTCCACCATTGTACAGTCCGTACTGGCTCATGTAAAACATGTCGTAAGTGGGGTCTGTGAACTCCTCCTTCACCTTGATGACATCCTGGTGAGAGGACTCACTGTGGTTCTCATCAGGCCTCTCACTGTTCATCAGGACTTTTTCATTCACTTCACTGTGAATGTGCTCATCTCCTTCCATGGATTCCTCACCCAGTTTGGGCTCTGAAGACTCAGATTCGTTCTCATAGTCCCGCTCAGGCTCTTGGTCCTCAGAAGTCATGCTGTCCGCCCTCCTAATTTCAGTCCTTGAAATGCATCGGGTCCTGTTATGCTTGGAAAAGTCCTTCACAGACATGCCTGGGCTCATCTCCTCTTGGGAGTGACAATGATTGTCATGGCTCAAGTCGTTGACTACAGCGCCGCCATCATTAGGGTCATCATCTTCATCATCGAACTCATCAGCAGTATCAATGATTTCCTTCTCAATCTTCACAGGCATGCTTGACTTCCTGGGCTTTTTCTTGGGTGCCAGGTCAGCACTGGGCTCGTGGGCAGCCATCATCACTGCTGGCACTATTGGCTCAGAGGGTGGTGGGGGGTGCTGCTCTATGGTACCACTGCTTGGAATGATGGGACTGGTGGGGAGGGAGGTTGGAGGACTCACCATTTCCCCTGGAGTGAGTAAACTTCTATAAAATGGAGGAACTGGTTGTACAGTCTTTAGCCCAGAAAACACCAGCTGGCTAGGGAGAGGATTCTGTAAGACGGGGTCTAGTGGGGGAGTGGTAAAACCCATTGGGGGCCGGCCGGGGCTTGTGAGTGTGAGATTTGATTTTGTACTTGCTATGACAGGGGTGGCAGCTCCTGATGTGGCCCGAATTAAATCTTTGTCTCGGTTATTCCTTAGCATAGGCATGTGAAGGCGAGGGTTGGGGTTTGCGCTGTGGCGATTACGGCTTCGGAGGGAGCTAAAGACCATGTTGCAACCTTCGATGGTGCATCGATGTTTGATCTTCAGGTGAACGGCATTATAATGAATTTTGAGAGTACCTTTGTCATAGAATGTCTTCCCGCATGCATTACAGAACACTCTTCCTTTCCTAGAGGCTGACCCCATTCTTCTCATGCGATGAATCCGGAATGAACTTTTTGGGTGTTCTGTTTTGGTTAGATCACTGACTGGGGCAGAATTCTGAATGGGGGAGACACAGGCTGGCTCAGTTTTGGGCTCCACATTAGTAATGCTGGTCAGGGCATTTCTATTGGGTGTCTGATCATTCTTATAAGGTGTGGGAGAGACTTCAGATTCACTGCTCTCATTATATTCATTCTGGGTTGAAAGACTTGGTTCCCGCAGTCTTAATCCTGGTTGCTCTAACAAGAGCCCATTTGGAGGCAATCCTAGCAGTGGAGCTGAGACGGGGTTTATGTACTGGAATGGAAGCAGAAACGCTAGGCTGTTTGGGATGTTTTCGAAGTGATGAATGCTGGAAGGATTGCTGTTCTCTAAGTGAGCAAGGAGGCTGGGACTCCTGGTACGATTATTGCTCTCAATGAAAGTCCTTATATCTGAGTCTGTCTTTGAAGATGGTACAGCCACAGCCTGCCCTTCTTTCTCCTGAATTGCCATCAGCTCCACAATGGATTTGGTTTCTCCAAACCGCAGAAACTGCTGAAGGGTGATGATTTCCTCTTCTCGAGACATGATGGCCCAGCGGTCCAGCACCTTGCCGGCAGCATCCTAGAGGCCACACCAAAGAAACAACAAAGACAAACACAAAAACTTATTGATTGTGCATAATTATTCAATGCAACTGAAGGTGCTCTGTCTGCTCAAAAAACACTGAGAGCGAGAGCAGAAAATAACATGCAAGCACTGTTAATAAAAGTCAACCCACAAAGCAAACTTTTCTGCCATGCAAATGTAGTAATTAGAGTCACAGTTAGAGAAACAGATTGAGCTTAATAATGTCAAAGCAAACAAAATGTAGACCACTGGGGCTCTGTGATCTAAAAATGCCTTCAGTACTGCTATTTTAACAACAATGATCTATATACTACGCAACTATTTAGCATTTATTAGTACAAGATGTGAACTCTTGCTGTGCAACCCAGTATAAATGCAAAAATGGTACCTTAATCCTTATTAAATAGTGACACCATAGGAAGGAATTAAGTACATTTTGCGAAATTTACTTCTTCAACACAAGCAGACATGACACTGGATTCAATGATGAAAATTCCTTTAAATAGGAGTTATGTGAATTTCTGAATCAAAAAGATGAATAAAGTAGCATTACCCCTCATACCCCCATTACTAAGCTGTATCTTTTCTTTTTTGAATGGCTATATTTTAGTATCATTTAATAGCAGGCAATTTCATAAGGTAAAATAAGGAAAATATCACTCATAAAAGGTAATTGTACTTTTTCTGAAAATTGGTTGTAATCATATGATTCAAAGTTTGAGTTAGACTTAATATATTTGACTTTTTATGATCTTGTTATAAATGACAGTCATAGATATTTAAAAAGTAAACACGTGATGGATTTAGATAGAATAAATGTGTAAAAAGTTGTCTCTTAGCATCCTCCTCTGATAGCAAAGGGAGTCCACAGAGAATACACATCAGTAATCACCAGAGTATGTGTTGTTAAATATACATTAAAAAGCATTTCACACTTTCATTTTTGCTAGTAACTATGAGATTTGCCTGGAGGTAGGACTTAAAAATCCTGCAATGTAATGTCAGGCAGTCCATTTCAGCATGGATTGAGAGAAATCTATTCAAACAGTTAAATAATGACTCCATCATTTTCTAGGGCACCATTTCTTCCCACCAGGACAATTTGCAGCCCTCTGTGAATGACCCTTCCTCCAACACTGACCATCAACTTAAGAAAGCATACAACCTCCTAAAAAAACGACAAGATACTAATTACAAAGGGAAAAATCGTAACTGTATTGTGGAAAAACCTCACAGACCCCATCTTAAAGGAGTGACTGGAGTTACCGCCACCAGTGGAAATCATGTTGACATCACACCTCTTGATAGGATATACCGAAAAGGGCACACCATTACTTTTGTGGCATTCTCGTCAAAAATTTACAACCTCAACTTAATCATGAGAAAACATCATGCAAACCAGAATTAAAGAGCATTCTACAAAATAGTAGAGAGTACTCTGCAAAGTGTAAAGGTCAAGAAAGATTTTTTTTTAAAAAAATAAACAACAGTGAAGGATTAGATGGGATTAAGAAGATACAATTGTGTGATCCAAGAGATTCTAGATGAGAAAAAGGACACTCATTGGAAAACTAGCACAATTTGAATAAAGTCTCTAGATTAGTTAACAGTATCACATCAATCTTAATTCCTGGTTTCAGCAATTGTACTGTGATCACGTAAGATGTTACACTAGAGAAAGCAGGATAAGGGATACACGGGACCTGTACTATTTTTGCAATGGAAAAGTCTCTCCTCAGCCTTTGTGTATAAAATTCCCTATGGATCACAATCATATGGTCTGAATCATCACAGATGGTTTTTGTCATTTATTGGAATTACTTTTTTTTTTTTTTTTAAAAGAAGCTCTGATAGTTATGTGCTATTCTTTACAAGGCTCACTCCTAGCACTCTATCATTTTACATAAAGAATATGTGTGGGTATGTCCCCTCATCATGTAGATAAAATTGGCCTTCAGATCAAATACTCTCATATAACTCAAAACAGTCATATAAGGATGTGGGTACATGGTGACCCTACATCACCATTTTAAAAAACTGCCATTAAATAGCAATTGCTCTCCCTTACATCCTTCTTTTGGACTACGGAGAATAAGGTAGAATGTTGATGTTTTAGATAAAAATAGAAATAAATTGTGATTTTAATATGTACCCTATCGTAACTTCCAGGGCTTCCAGAGCTCAGCAAACAGATGAGAAGTCAGAGGAGAAGAAAGGTAAGATGGCTTGTTAAGCATGCCAAGATGCTAGCTTGGGGTCCAGGAGGTAAACCCAGAAATTGTAACTCTTAAGTTCACTGCGTGTCTCTACAGAACTCAGTGACTCTCATTCCATGATGCCACTTTCCAGGTGAGTACACTGAGTTTGCAACAGCAAGCAGTAGCACTTCTCCTAAAGAAGTCTTTCTCTAGAGCACTGTAATGTACTTTTCTACACTATCTTTCTTTTCTTTCTTTTTTTTTTTTTTAAGAGACAGGGTTTTGCTCTGTCAGCCCAGGCTGGAGTACAGTGCTGCAAATCAAAGCTTACTGCAGCCTCAAATTCCTGGACTTAAGTGATCCTCCTGCCTCAGCCTCCCAAGAAACTGGGACTATAGACACGTGCTACCATGCCTGGCTAATTTTTTAAATTATTTTTTTGTAGAGACAGGATCTCTCTATGTTGCCCAGGCTGTTCTTGAACTCCTGGCCTCATGTGATCCTCCTGCCTCAGCCTCCCCAAGTGCTGGGATTACAGGTGTGAGCCACCTTGCCCAGCCTACACCGTTTTTCTTTTACCATCCAATCTACTCTCTTGAATGTTCTTTTATGGAGCTTTTCACTATGGATTGTTTCTCAGGCTGAACCCTAATCTGAGTAGTGTAGAGTCATATCTTCCCAGGTAACCTGCACCTAAATCTGCATGTCAATAATGTATTTACACAGCTGGCAGCCTCTGGTATTAAAATAACCTCAGAAACCATAGCAACTGATCAAATCTACCAAGGCATTTCATTTCCATCACCCTTCTGTCTTCCCTTTCCCAATAGTACATGGAAGTCCCATATGGTTTTTCTTTCCTCCTGGCCTGCCACAATGCCTGCTACTATTTCTAAAATCACTGCCTTTCACATCGTCTTTTAGTCTTCAGTAGCTGTCTCTGCTAAAATGGAGACTGTTAACATTAAACCACTTACTTTTTGTAGAAGAGGTCAAGGTAAGCATGATTTAGAGCTTTGCTAGTGCCTGAATCATAAAAGGGAAGCTTCCATTCTAGTGGTAAGAGAAGTAGCAATTTATATGTACATAGAAGTAAAACATAGCATCTTTGCAAACACAAGGTCTTCAGAACAAGACAAATACCTACATACACACTAACCTGGAGTTCCCCTGACAGGCACCCTCTAAATCCAGGCAATATGAAGTGTCCAAGAAGTTCTTTCCAAAAAACTCATCATTAATATTTGATCAACATTATCTAATTCATCATGCTCATAAATGGAAAAACTGAAAGAAACGAAGTTGATCCTATGCAATGTAACGAGTCTGCAAGCTCAATGCTAAGACTGCCTAACAGTTTTAGTGTATTCTTGGACAAACTGGTTGAAAGGAGTCAGAAACCACCAAAAGGAAAAAAGGGGGGACCCAGGTTTTTTTCTGAAGATCTTTGTGACAGAAATATTCATGGTTTGGTGCAGTGATTCTCACACAGCGGTTTAAGACTTTCATGCTATTTGAAATAGACTGGTGTCAGTCTGAGGGCTTTCTTCCCCCCCAGTCTGCAAGTAATTGAGAGTAACAATGTGAAAAATTTTAGCACAATTGGACACTGTTGCCACAACTAAAAGCATCGTAATTTTTTTTTAGTGATTTACTTTTATTGTATTTAACTTTAGTATTGGCTCAAGACTGATTAGGAGGAAAAACTAGTCCTCCCTACATATAGTACAGATGGTCATATAAACTTTACTCAAGTGAATAGGAATCATAAAAACAATCAGGGATTATCATGAACTAAAAACTAATAAAGCAAAAATTCAGTCTGTTAGGCCAGTATGAAGGTCCTGACTACCAACCATCCTATCCTGGGACACTGGTCTTAGGCATGAATAATATGTTAACATCAGAGTATATTAACTAGACTCTTGTCCCTCCCATGCAATTTTGTAGTCAGTGAGTCAATTCCTACCTTTAGGCTTTCCTATTTGTGACCAGAGTTCAGTGACATTTAACCTTTTAGATTGGAAAGTTATTTACAAAATGAGGATAATAAGATTTACTCTAGTAAGGTATTATTGTAAGTATTGATTTTCTGTGAAAATAACTGGCTATAATACTAATTAAAAGATGAGTAACACCAAATAATCCAGACTTATAAACCACTCGGTTCAGAAAAAATATAAAACACTTAAAATATTTATATCTATGCATTTAAGTGAAAAGACTTCCTTTTATTATTTTGCTAGAACTGGTGATTATCACTCATAGAAATCTGGCACCCAGTTCCTATATGGCTCTGCAGCACGATTTTTAAAATCTTTTGTATTAGAGGCCGGGCGCGGTGGCTCACGCCTGTAATCCTAGCTCTCCGGGAGGCCGAGGCGGGCGGATTGTTTGAGCTCAGGAGTTCGAGACCAGCCTGAGCAAGAGCGAGACCCCCGCCTCTACTAAAATTAGAAAGAAATTAAT